TACCTTTCCTTGCAGTAATCTGCACAGAGCTCAGGTTAGCATCGGTGAGCCTACCTAGCTTTTCAAAGACTTTGTGCCACACACAGGAGGTGTCTTGGAATTGGCTTTCTGGAAGGAAAAGATCAAGCTTGCAATTAACAAGAAGTTAGGATCCTAGTGCTGAAAGGGCCCTGACTTTAGGAGATGTAGCAAAAAGATCAGCTTGGCAAACTCAGAATTCAGCTTTCTTGGAGCTACTCACTTCATTCCTATGCCTACCACTTACACAGAGATTGATCGACATTCACCTTCAATTCATAACGGTCTGAATCTCTTCAACTACTAAAAAAGATAAACTTCTAGGATTAAGGACAGAAGGTCTGGGTACTAGTCATGGCTCTACCACTAATTAGCTCTATGGGCAAGTTCCTTAACCTTCCTGAGCCCAGATTTCACAGGACTGTTGAAACTTTGGAGATCATCTAGTCTAATTCCCCTCGTTTCACAAATATAGAAATTGAAACCCAAAGGTCATGAAGGTAGTAAGTATCAGAGCTAGGATTTTAAAAGATTTTCTAACTCCCAAACTCATGCTCTATCCACTATGCCTGGCTGCCTCTTCTATAAAATGGGGATAGTGATGTCTGCCCTGTCCTCCTGGCAGAGGGAGGATAAAATGAAATAAGGGATGACAAAGTATTCTATACATGCAAGGAATTATTTATTTTGCTAGCTCATATGAATCTGGTCTTGGCTCACAAGCCAGTAAAATCATAGAATCTGAGTCAGAAGTATTGATCTGAGGTAGCTGGTGACTTGGCGGATAGAGCACTGCGCCTGGAGTCAGGAAGTTATTCTCTCATTTTTTAGTCACGTCTGACTCTTTGTGACTGCATTTGGGGGGTTTCTTGGCAAAGATACTAGAATGGTTTACTATTTCTTTCTCCAGTTCATTTTATATATGAGGAAACTGAGGCAAACAGAGTGAAGTGACTTGCCCAGGGTCACACAGCTAGTAAGTGTCTGAGGGTAGACTTGAACTCAAGAAGATGTCTTACTGACTTCAGGTCCAGCACTCTATTACTGTGCCACCTAGATGACACAGAGTCAGGAAGACCTGAGTTCAATAATTAATCGCTAGTATTTACATAGCATCTACTATGTGCTAGGCATTATACTAAGAGCCTTATAAATATTATCTTATTTGATCCTCACAACAACCCTGGGAGGTAGGGGCTATTATTATCCCCATATTACAGTTGAGGAAACTGAGGCAAACAGAGGCTAAGTGACTTGCCTGAGGTCATACAGCCAATGTCTGATACCAGATTTGAACTCAGGTCTTCCTGACTCCAAGCCCACTACTCTATCCACTCCTCAGCTGTAAAATGAGGTTAATTATAGCGCCTAACTTACAGGCTTTTGTGAGGATGAAATGAGGTAATATTTGTAAAAAGTACATAGTGCCTGGCACATAGTAGGTGCTATATAAATACTTATTCCCTTTGTCCCTTCCTATCTCCAGTCCCTTCAACCATTCTTCACAATATATATTTTTCATTGTTTCAGTGTATTGTGATAACTTACAGTTGGTACAAAAATGTCCCAGTGATAATTGTCTAAAACTATTTTTATAGCTACTAAGATTACATTTTACTTAACAGTAATGATCACTAAGAGTAACTTACACTAAATCACATTCTACTTAGCAGTAACCATCACAGAATCCATTATTCTATTCTATTTATAATGGGAAGCTGGCCAACAAGAACTCAGTCCTTAAAAGCATGTGAAAAATTTCTCTGCCTAGTTTGAATCCAACTTGTACAACTCTGGGCAGGGGGGAGGTATCTTCTTCAGCCCCTAATGACTGAGGGGCAAGAGTTGTGTGGCGAATTTTGAGTTTCAGAGTCAGAGGGACTGATGATAGAGCTGGAATTAAGTTTCTCTCTACCCCACGTTTCTGAGTGGGGAAGAATAGCTGTGGGCTTCTTCTGGTGGGGAGAGAAGTAAAAGCTATGGCTGCCTCACCTCCCCACCCAGTGGCTATGTGTCCTTGAATACATGTTGCTTGTTTCAACTGTGTTTATTCTTTCTGGATCTTAAGTGAATGAGTATTGGGAGAAGGAATGGACTATATTATGACCTTGTGAACTTCCAAAGGTCTAAATGACCATCAGAGTGCCTCTCAGCAATCAGAGTCAGTAGCAGAGACCACATGGGCTGCTAGCGGCAGTAGCTGTGTCCAGTGAGAAGCCCGCCCTGAGGGACATCCTGCTTGACATAGCCTGGCAGTGGATTGACATGTGAGCCAAAGACCCCACCTCCTACAAAGAGCTAGCCCAGTGGGTCAAGGGAGCAATTGCATCCATCAGTAACAGCACACTCAGAAGTGAATATGGTGCAGACCTCAAAAAGACTCCCCAGGGCCGGGGGTCTTGAGATCCCTTTTAGCCCCACATGTTCCCTAAAATGTGGGCCTCAGAACCTTTAAGCTTCAAGTTAGAGCCTATTCTACCCAGAGACCAAGAGCGTGTAGAGGGAAGAGTGTAAATCTAGCTTGAGGGATGTTTTTATAACTTTTGTCCTTTCTATACCTTCTTAATAAATATCCCTTTGTAAAAGCTACTTGACATAAATTGGTTAATTGATATTGGGGGAGCAAGCCAGATAGAGTCTTATGAGCAATAGTATCAGAAATTTGGTTACTCCTAGGACCCTCGGGGGGGGGGGGCAGTAGTCAACTGTCTCCCAGGGACCCAGCCGCCATTACAGGTAGGAATTAGGGAAATGATTCCAGAGAGGGTGCTACAAATTTATGAACATTCTAACCATTGTTATACTTGGAGCTTTTACCTCCAAGACCAACATGAAACTCCCTGAAATTCAGCAATCTCTATTTGATCTCTTACTCTCCAAGGCCTCAAAGCTTTTCTTGAGTTCCTCTGTTAATGTTCTGTTGCTCTGCCAGGCCATAATTAGACAAACTTTAGCTTATTTTGGTTTATTGACTCTCTAATACCAGGTCTCACACTCTCACCAACTTCATGGGAGGAAAGGAGGAAGAGAAGGGAACTGAAAAAAAAGAAAAGAAAAAAAGGGGGTAGCTAGTGGTACAGTGGATAGAGCACTGGCCCTGGAATCAGGAGGACTTGAGTTCAAATGTGGCCTCAGACACTTACTAGCTGTGTGACCCTGGGCAAATCACTGAACCCAGAAATAGAGGGTGGGGTGGGGGAGAACTAGAGAATTTTTGGCCACTGTGAAACGGCAAATCCAAGGAATGACAGAGGTGTTCCTCTCATCTCTCACAGAAAAGACACAAATAATGCTAGGGAGGTACTCGATAGCTCTACCCTTCTCAATTTACTTATGACTAGGATGACAATATGCACTTGTGAGCCAGGATCCCTTGAACTGGAGAAACAGTGGTGTGAAATTCCAAATATTTTACAAATTCCTTGGGGTAAAGAGACTATCTGGTCCCCAGAACCAGTCATAAATGCCTTGTACATAGTAGGTACTCAATATATTTTGTTGGTAATGATAACAGTGAATAGTGGAAACAACTGCCTAGGAATAGACTTGGAGGTATAAAAGCCTTGATCCCAATTCAATATTAAGTCAGATAATATTTTAGCACAGTACCTGGCACATAGTAGGTGCTATATAAATGCCAAATTTCTGTAGGTAGAGGATGGAAATTTTAGAGGTGTGTAAGAACTTTCTCTTCACAGACAGGAAACCTGTCACCTCAGACCAATATTCACATAACAAACAACAATCTCTTCAGGCCTCAATTTTTTCATCTGCAAAATAGGATATATAATTTCCCTTTATAAATTTGAGTTATTATGCATCTCAACCAAAATATTCCTCCAGTGCTCCATTGTGGCATGAAGTGAGCCTTGGGTTCTTAAAGGCTAAGCCACTTACAATTGGTTGGTTGGTTGTCGGCCTTCGTTATTAAGAAGACCAAAATGACAGCACTATGCTAGAGTCAAGTTACAGTGCGTCTGACAGTGGCTGATCAGACCAGTACCGAGCTTGCAATGTTCTACCCCAGGTCAGGCACAAATAGTCCATGTGAACATTTGGGTTTCTCTAAATTTGCACATCTCCTGTTTCTTTTGAGCTACTTCAATTCTGCTTTGCTCATAGAGCATAGCCACTTTTCTGATGAGGACACACCATACTGGGAGGTCCTATGTCACTCACACAATCAGTTCCGAAGCTGAGCCCGCCTGGAGTACATGGAATGCTGGACTTAGAGTCGGGAAGACCAGAACTCAAGTCTTTCCTCTAACAATTACTCAAGGTGTGACTTGTCACACTTAAGTCACTTAACCTCTCAATGCCTGTTTCCTCATCTGTAAAGCAGTACTACCACCTATCTTTATAAGGTTGTGAGACTCAAAGGAGATCATAGATGTAAAATACTTTGCACACTTCGAAGTGTTAAATAAATATAACTTGTTATAGTCACTAAGCTACAAAGGCCTTGACTATGGTTTGTTCACTGGAGGTGCTTGTTGTTCCATCATTTCAGTCATATTTGACTCTCTGTGACTCCATTTGGGGTTTTCTTGGCAAAGATACTAGAGTGATTTTGCCATTTCTTTCTCCAGCTCATTTTACAGATGAGGAAACTGAGGCAAAACAGCATTAAGTGACTTGCCCAGAGTCACACAGCTAGTAAGTGTCTGAGGGCAGATTTGAACTCAGGAAGACAAGTTGCTGCCCCCTGAAGATGCTTCTCATCAGAGAAATAGATGACCATCAATTACCCCCTGAAGATGCTTCTCATTAGAGAATAGATGACCATCCTTCATACGTCCCAACACACACACACATACACACACACACACAGAGCTTCGAAACTGAGCCTAAGAGTCCCCGTTTCCATAACAACCTGAGGGCCAGCCCGCTTCCGAGAGAGGTTCGGAACTTCCTTCCCTCGGAGGACTTAAACTCTATGGTTCCCCTGGGTTCCATTCTATGGTCTTTGCCACCTAGAAGGGACCGAAAGCGGTACTTCCGGAAACATGGCGGCTTGCCGGTTGTGGTTTCCGCGTGTTTCAGCCATGAGGACCTTGACGGGACTGTGAGCAGCTCCCATCACTAGAGAGAAGCTGGCTGCACACCGGAAGGGAGGAAGAGGTGCTAAGAGGAGCAGATAAATGTAAGTGCTGGAGACTGCCCTTCCGGAACTGCAGCCGGAGAGATGGGAGTTAGATTGCGGAAGGGCTGGGCGACCCCGGAGGGGGAGGGAAGGCAGACGGAGCGGGTTCTTGGGGACAACTGGAGGTTGGTCGGTCAGTCAGCAGGCATTTATGCCTGGCACGATGCTGATCGCCGGGGATACACAGAAAGGCAGGAACAGACTCCACGCCCAAGGCATCAATCAATAAACGCTTATTAAGCTCTTCGTCTGTGCCGGGTGCTGTGATAAGTGCTGGGGATGTAAAGAAAAGCAAAAACAGCGGCCACTTTCAAGGAAATAATCAATCAATAAATATTCAGCACTTATTATGTGCCAGGCACTGTACTAAGCGCTGGGAATACAAAAAGATCCATAAGACAGTCTTTACCCTCAAGGAGCTCTCTCGGTCTAAGGCTGACTATTTTTAAATATCTAGTAGAAGATCTGTATTGAGGAGGTAGTGGGAAAGGGAAAGAAGGCATTAGCTAAGCAGGCCAGGAAAGGCCTCTTGCAGAAGGTAGCATTTGAGCTGTCTTGAAGGAAGCCAGGGAGACTAAGAGGCAGAAGAAGGGAGAGTGTAGAATATCCCAGGTATGGGGGACAGCTGGTGCAAAGGTACAGGGACTAGAGATAGTAAAGGCAGATCCTCTCCAGAGGAGACAAGAGATCCTTTTAAGGAGACCAAATAGCATGCAGCCCCAGGGCTGTTATGTCATGTCAGGTGTGACTAAGGCAATGTTTGCTTGTTAAGGCACATCTGAACTGACAGGTCAAAATCAAGGGAATTCCTTTGACACTGGCCCTTTTTGGAGGCTTTATGTTTAGTCTAACAATGTTCCTGTTATTTAAAACATTTCTGAAACTGTCTCCAGCGCATAAGAAATTATTTTAAAGAACTGCAACATCTCTTACTGCGTCTAGATCAATCCAGAAACCAGGCCAGTGTTCTGCTCATAGTAGAACCAGACTGGGAGCGATAGGTTTGAATCCTTTTTTTTTCTTTCAGGGGGATGATAGTAACCACTTTTGAACTGGTGAGACATTGAGGACAGAGACTAACTCTTTTCTCAACATGAACGTCACCTCAGGGACCAAGAGTCGGGGGATGAAGTTTGCTGAGGAGCAGCTGCAGAAGCATGGATGGATTCAAGGTAATAGCCCCACAACTCCAGTCCTGCTTTCTAGTACCCCAGGGCTATGAAAGAAACTCCCACTAGCACAGACACCTCAGTTCTTAGGCAGAATTGGAAGAGGAAGAACCATTCTGAAAGGGAAATGAAGGTAGGGTGCCCAGATGGAAAAGGGACAGGGAAAAGAGCCCTCAGAAAGGAAGACTTAATAGCTGGCATTTATACAGTGTTTTTAAGTTTTGCAGAGTACTTAACTTATGATATAGCATTTGATCCTCACAACAACCCTGTGAGATAGGTGCTTATATTATACCCATTTTACAACTGAGGAAACTGAGACAGAGAGGTTAAGTGATTTGTCCAGGGTCACATATCTCAGTGTCAGAGACAGGGTTTGAACTCAGCTCTTCCTGAATCAAGTCCAGTGCTATATGGACTGTACCACCTAGCTACCTCAGGTATTCCTTGTGGGCAAAGCCCTACCCTGGGCATTAAAGAGCTATTTGGAGAAAGTTTCCACAAGTAGAAAACTACTCATCTTACAGACTTTAAGTTTTTAGAGTTTAAAACTTCACTAAGACTTTTGGGCCACTGTATATAATAGTAAAGAGAATCTCATTAAGCTAATAACAAGAGATCGCATTTCTATAATACTTTCTTGTCTGGAGAGTGTTTTAATCACAGTTCTGGGGTAGAGTAGGTAATATGAAGTAGTGTTATTACCCCCAAGTTATAGGTAAGGCAAAAAGAGGCCCTAAGAGGTTAAGTGACTTGTCCATGGTGACATAGGATCATAAATGACAAAGCTAGAAATTGAATCCAGGTCTTCTGACTCTTTTAAGTTTAGCACTCAGTTATGGCACACAGTGGACAGAGCTTTGGGTCTGGAGTCAGGAAGACTTGAGTTCACATCTTGCTTCAGACACTTAACTAGCAATGTAAGCCTGGGGCAAGTCACTTAACTCCTGTTTACCTCAGTTTCCTCATCTATAAAATGGAGATTATAAGAGCACCTACCTCCTGGGGTAGTTGTGAGGATCAAATGAGACCATAATTGTAGAGCACAGTGCCTGGCACATAGTAAGCACTCTTTAAATGTTAGCTATGATGAGGATGATGCCATTCTTCCTCCAGGAAGGGTTGGAGAATACAGTCCTAGTCCCTTGTGTAGTTGTAAGCTCCCCCAGGACACAGACAGATTAGGACAGATGATCCATTTGAATGGGCTGTAGACATCAGTGCAGGAAATTTTGCTGGAGTGGAGTCAGGAGCCTCTGAAGTTTTGCAGGAGACACGTAGAACTGAATTGGGGAAGAAGGAGGGATAGAGTTGAGTAGAGTCTAAAGGCATTGTTGTGGTCAGGGGTCAGGATTTTGCTGCAGACAGATAAACTGCATGAGCCTGGTCTCTGCTTTCTCCAGGCAAGGGCCTGGGCAAGAATGAAGATGGCATAGCCCAGGCGGTCAAGGTGAAGCTGAAGCAGGACAATGCTGGGGTAAGACTCCATGTGGGTCTGGGGCCTGGGGACCCAGAGGGGAAATCGGGATGGAAGGATGGCATTTGCAGGATTGTGTCTCTTTCCCCTTGGGCAGGTGGGACATGACCCTTCTAAGGAGTTCACTGACCACTGGTGGAGCCAGCTCTTCAACAAGACAGCTGCCAGCTTGGTGGTGGAGACTGGGAAGGTACTGGGTGGGGGGATGGGGTAAGGGAAGGGGAAAGGGGAGGGGAGGGAGAGATGAGCATAGAATACACAAGCACTTGGTCTGTGTAGGGACTGTGAGAACCAGGCGTGGGGCAGCAGACTTAGTTCAACCTCCACCTCCCCAACAGGATGGAGTAAAGATGAAGACCCAGGCCAAGGATGCCAGCAGGCAGAAACGATCTGGGAACTCCAAGTCCAGCCTGTTGTACAGACACTTCATAAAGGTACTAGAGGCTAGGGATGAAGGAGACCCTCCTCCCACCTGCTAGTCCAGGTGGGGCTTCGTGCTTTCTATTGTCTTCACTATCAGGAGACAGTAGCCACACTTCCATTTGCAAGAGGAAGAATTAGATGGTGTATTCTAAAAAACAAGTGATCACTAGCTGTCTTACAGCCCTCTAAATGAATTAGGCAGTGGGGTAGAACTAAAGCTATATCTGAACCATGGGGCCTGGACAATAAGATGAAGATATGTTGTAAGGTCATATAATGAACACACAACTGTAAATGGAATCAGACCTGGGTTTGTGGGTTCTAAAGCAAATCCATTCCCTCTCTAAGGTATTTGCTACCTCCTCTTCATCTGTAAAATAAGGAGGTTGGGTTAGCACAGGCTTCCACAACCTGTGGCCCTCGGGCATGCCAAAGGATTTCGGGAGGCCAGCCAAAAATGTAGAGGATGTTTTCCTCTACATTTTTGATGGGCCACCCGAAATTCTTTGGTAGGACACAGGTTGTGCAGGTGTGGGCTAGCTAGTATACAAGGTCCCTTTGAGCCGACATTCTAGGGTTCTTTGCCAACTTTCCCATTCTCCAAATGAATCTTTCTGGTTTTTTAGCAAGTATCCAGAATTCTAGTGGGGAGTAAGGGGTGGGGGTGGGGGGGGTAGATGCTATAAGGAAAGACCATGGAAAGGATGTAGAAAATGAACTTTTAATAATAACTCATGTTTATATGGCACTTTGCAATTTACAAAGGGTTTTCTTTACAATTAGCCTGGAAGATTGGTAGTACAAGTATTATTCTTATTTTACAGATGAGGAAAAGGCTTCAAAAAGTTAATCAATAATAAAAAATAATAGCAGTTAATATTTATATACCACTTACTTGTGTGCCAGGAACTTTGCTAAGAGATTTACAATTATCATCTCATTTGATTCTCACAACAATCCTGTGAGGTATTATCCCCCATTTTAAAGTTGGGGAAACTGAGGCAGAGAAGTTAAATGACTTGCCCAGGATCACACAACTAGTAAATGTCTGAGGTCACATTTGAACTCGGTCTTCCTGACTCCAGGCCTAGCGCTCTATCCACCTTGCCTCCCACCTGCCCAAGTTAAGTGACTTAACCATGATCATTCCATTTTTGGTGTTTGGAAGAAAGATTCAGACTTCGGTCTTCTGACTCCAAGTCCCCTTCTCTATCCATGTGGTGCCACACTGTCCTTCAGGGAACTCAGTAAGTCTGTGAAGTTCTCCCTCTTTTAGCTGAGATTCCCCGTGGGCAGTGTAACCAAAATGATAATAGTAATAGGAGTGTTGTCATTTGATCTTGGGGAATAGTGACCAAAGCACTTTCCCTTCTGTTTTCTTTTCCTCCTACATTCTGATCATAGACTCAGAGATCTAAATTTGGGAGGCCACCTGGCCAAACGCCTTATTTTACAGATGAGGCAAGTAGCTTGAGGTCCCAGAAGAAGTGAGGGGTAAACCTTTTGGCTCTAGATCGGGTTCTTTCCACTGTCTCTGTGTGAGATGGGGGGAGGCCAGGTTTGTCATTACAGCATTGTGGATACAGCACCTGCTTAAGTTAGCAGCCTGAAACATAGATCTACCATGTGAAATGGGCATGTGGTAGTTGGCTAGTTGGAACAAACTTAATGGAGAGAGATGAGGATGGTGATGCTGACAAAAGGAGACAGATTGGTCTTGTCTCTGCTCAGAACCCTCCAGTGGCTCCCTGTTGCTTACCTAGTAAAGGTCTTTCTTCCTTAGCCTGGCATTCAAAGGTCCCCCTGATCTGGTGTGCCAGACACTTCCAGACTTAACTCATAGCTCCTCCCCTCTAAGTATCTTGTGCTTTAGCCAAACTGAGCTACTTCCTAACTCGAGTACAAGACTATCCTTTGGTCATGTTCCTTAAACCTAAAATGTCCTTCCTCACCTTTAAAAGTGTTGAAATTCTACCTGTCCTTTAAAGCCTAGCTTAATGCCCTCCTAGAAACTAGCCCCAGTTCCACTATTAGTAATCAGCTTCACCCCCAACCTCAAGGGCTTTTTTGGTGGCTTGGGCCTGTGCCTGTGATTTAATTAACTGGTAAGGAAATTGGGAAGGTGGCAAAGTGGATAGAGCAATGGCCTTGGAGTCAGAAGGACCCGAGTTCAATTTTGGCTTCAGACACTTAACAGCTGTGTGACCCTGGGAAAGTCAATTCCATTTGCCTCAGTTTCTTCATCTGTGAGCTGGAGAAAGAAATGGCAAACCACTCCAGTATCTCTGCCAAGAAAACCCCAAATGGGGTCACAAAGAATTGGACATGACTAATCAACTAAACAACAAAATATCAGTATTACTGTCATTTGGGGCAGCTAGGTGGCTGGATAAAGTAGATAAAGTGCTGGGCCTGGAGTAAGGAAGACTCCTCTTCCCAAGTTAAAGTCTGGCCTCAAACACTTAACTAGCTGTGTGACGCTGGGCAAATAACTTAACCCTGTTTGCCTGTTTCCTCATCTGTAAAATGAGCTAGAGAAGGAAATGGCAAATCACTTCAGTATCTTTGCCAACAAAATTCCAAATGGGGCCACAAAGAGTCAGACAGGACTGAGCAACAACAAAGGAAATTCTTTCTAACAATGCAGACCAGTAACTGATCTGCAACTTACCACCTTAGATTTGCCTGTACTATATGAGTTATATCTCCTTACCAGAACGTGAGCCCACGGGAACAGGAACTTTGTCTAAACTTTGCATTTCCTGTAGTGCTTTGAACATAGTAGGTGCTTCATAAAAACTTGCTAACCTTGTAAATGTTTGATCTCCTGCCAGAGTGCCACTCTCACTTCAGGAGGGGAGAAAGCAGAGAAGCAGAGTGAACAAAGCAGTGAGGATGAGGCACCTCCACCAGCAAAGATGTGAGAATTCCCTTAGAATTGGAGGGTGATACAAAGGCCTTGCTCCAGTATTCCACGTCCCACATGAATGTGGGCAGATCTTCTTGAAGAGGGTTTCACTCCCCACCTGGGATAGCTTGGTGGGGAGACAGTAGGTTTCTTCTTTAGGCCATGCCTTCCTAAACTACTTTTCCCTCTGTCAATACCCAGCCTGACAGATGAAGAGTTGATTCGAGCCTTCGAGGGACGTACTGCACACAAGTAAGGCAGTCTGCAAGCTCAGCTCTCCCTTCCCTGCCCTTCTCTAGCCTCCCCATCTCTGGGCTTACTCTTCCAGGTGAAGCTTCCATCATTGTCTCTAGCCCCTTTCATCCCTAGCCCTTAATGCTGCCCATAGATGGATAGCAAGTCTTTCTTGCCCCACACAAGCAAGACCACAGGGGGAGGGAATGCTTTCTCTGATTTGCTGTTCCTCTGATTGGGTATCTGCTTGCCCCAGGGGTGCCCGCCATGGGCTTACCATGAAGGCCAAGCTGGCACGGCTGGAAGAGCAGGAGCGGGCCTTCCTGGCACAGTACAAAGGCCAGAACACAGGTGTACCTAACTCTCCAGCTGAGGAAATGCCCCAGAAGATGAAGAAGAAGAAGAAAAAGAAAAGTCAGGAAGAAGCATCAGTAACAGACAGGACTGAGCATGTGGAGGTCATAGAACAGCCTGATGAGAACAGCAAGAAGAAGAAGAAAAAGAGACAACTGGAAGAGGAAACAGAAGATGAGGTAGGCATTCAAGTAGAAAGGGAAGAGGAAGAAGAAAACAGAACCCAGAAAACCAAGAAGAAGAAAAGAAAAAAGGAACCACTAGAGGCCTAGTGAGGACTGTTCCAATAACCATCTACTTTCCCTTGTTGGAGACCAGGACTCCAGAGACTCAGGCCTCTGCGCCCTTTGCCCATTGCAGGGGGTGGGGGACAAGGGGGATAACAGAGGGTTCTCCTTTAGGTGCTGAGGTCACCGGAAATCAAGGTATCCAGTTCTTCTACACAGAGGAATCAATAAACACCTCCCAGGGCCCTACTTTTCAGTCCTGCTTAGGCTCTTCACTCATCCCCCACCCCCACACCAGGCTTCTTTCCCATGACCTGGAGCTGGGAAAGAGGCACCAGAGTCATTCTCTGTCTCACACGAGAATCCTTCTGGCTCCTTTCACACTTTTGCAGAAGCATCACCAACTAAAGGAGGGCTGAAACTTTGAAAGTGTCTCATCCGCTTTCCTGCCTATAGGCAAGTTTGCCCCAGTCCAGATGGATAGGAATTACTTGTATTCAAAGAGATTATACAAGGTCCCGTGGATGCCCATTTCAACATTTAGCAATCCTAACTAGCAGAAGGTCTTTCTTCCCATCTACCGTACTGCAACATCAGCTCATCTTAAGCATGTTTATAGAATTTCAAGCTGGAAAGGAACTTAGAGGATTCCCTCTACTTTTGCAGATGATGAAACTAAGACCCAGAGACATTTTGCCCAAGGTCACACAGCTCTGGGATTCAGACTTGGGTCTTCTGATTCCAAGGGTAGTGTTCTCTGCACTATACCATGTTGTGCCCTCTCTGGCCCACAAAGATGACTCCAGCCCACCCAGAAGATCTCAAAGCACTTTACAGATCCAGACCAAAAATGAACTCAGTCTTTATTGGGGGCACACCAGTCTTTCTTCATTGCAGCTGCAAGACACAATCAGTTGCTGGGTAGGGGGGTAGGTTGAGCTGGTATTTCTCCTGTAAGGCAGATGGCACAAAGCGACCCCCCAAGTAGTGGTATCGACCCTTGAACAGAGTGGCTGCCTTTTTGGGGGCTGTCAGTGAAATAAGTAAGTCAGGCCGGATGCCGTCTGGGTTCCCCTTCTCCACATCCCACCCTGTGGGTGCAAGGGACACATGGTTACAGGAATCAGTCCTCTTTTCAGCTTACCTTCCCCTATACCCCTTCTGAATTTGGCTTCAGCTCAATCTTGGGGGAAGCAGGAACACTAGGCCCTGTCCTAGGCTCTCCAGGCACCTCTATGCTTTGGGGTCTCTTCATATGGAGGAAGTGAAAATACTCTGTGACACCAGGCAGAGAGGATGTTGAGTGGAGACGTAGAATTTTCAAGTTCTTGCCTCCAAGAGCCTTCCAGCTCTAACGTTCTATGATTCAGGTAGCCTTCACTTCCTGCCCAGCTTGGGCACTTAGGAGTATTCAGAAATCATCCACTTATACGACTCTATTACCCCTCTCCCCCGCCCCTCCGGTTACCTGAGGGGATGTCAATGCTGGCAATAGGCACTGTGAGCCCACTCAGCATACTCAGGATGGCTCCAAATGGCTCCCGCACAGTACCCTTAAAGCTGAAGCCAAAGATCGCATCTACCACCAGTTCATATAGTTCATCAATCAGCATCGGCTAGGAAGAAGGGAGAGGAAGAGTAGGTTGGTAACCCATTTCCCAGTACTGCTCTAAGCAAGGAAAAAGGCTAGAATGGCTACAGAAAAAACAATGCAGATTATATAGATACAGGCAGTGGTGGGTGCAGAATCAGAAACACTCAAGTTTTATGCTGAGGGACGGCTACTTGTTTTCAGAGGAAATTCAGGCACCAGGGACTAGGACAGAAGTCATAGGATGATAGGTGAAACAGGAAAGGACCTTGAAAATAAAACTGGCCCTCTCAAAGGCCCAGAGAGGTTCATTTCCCAAGCTCACAGAGGTAATAAGTAACCATGTCTAGATTAAAACCCTGGCTCCCAGTTACTAGAAGATAGGGACAAAGGTGCATGGTAGGGCTGCAAAGGAGTCCAGAAGAAAGCATTTAGGCTTCATTGTTTGGGGTGGGAGCAGCTAAAAGAAAATTTTCATACCAAGGTAAAGGAAAAGCAAAGAAGCCAGTGGCTGTGTATTAGAGAAAGCGTGTAAGTGAATTTAGGGTCTAATGCCTCCTACCTCAGGTGGCATCTCAGGCAGAAAAGGGATGTCCATCTTCTGACACTGTGTCACCAGAGCATCAAAAAGTGGCTTGCTTGGCTTCTTGGGATAATGGATCTTTGGCTCATAGCCCTGGGAAGGAGGGAGTGATGTGATCCAGATGACCAAATTGTAAGAGCCCCTTCCCGTCCTGTCAGCCTCCCCTCCCTTGGTGGCACCTCTCCATACTCACAAAGAGTTTGAGGTGCCTGGCACAGACAAGGCCATCACCCCCATTGTTTCCAGGGCCACAGATAACCAGGACTGCTGGGGGGCTGCTGTCAAAAGAACTGGGAGGGTATGCCTGCAGGGAGGAGATGCATGGGGATTAAAAGGATCTTCTTGCAGGAAGGCCCTGGTTCCCGTAGGACAGGTTTCATGTGACCCATTTCCCATCCCCTCCTACTGGCTTTCATCATTCTGCCCTTGCTCTTTAGGGGCTGGTTAGTGCTAGGTCCTCCCCCAGCCCCTGGCACTGACCTTGGCAATGGCAGTGGCACAGCTGAGCCCAGCCAGCTCCATGAGTTGATCCACACTAAACTTGTACTCGTTGAATAGCTCCTCATCCACAGCCTGGGCCTCCTCCTGGCTGGGAGAAAACCCAGCCCCTCCAGACTCAGTTCCTGACCCTGGCCCTCCCAGGCTCAGGCGAGCGCTCCCAGCCCCACAGGCTCGGGCGGGCGCCCCCCGGTCCAGGTCGGTAAATCCCTTGTACGCCTGCAACCCCTAGTCCTGCCCCGCCTCCCCGACTCAGGTGGGCGACCCCGTCCGAGTCACTGCACCCTCTGCCCTCCCAGGTTTGGGGGCACCCCCGGTCCAGGTCAGTGCATGCTCCCTGCGCAGAACGCGGAAGTCGGACGTCCCCTGGCCTCATCTCACCTCAAGTACTTCAGGGTTTTGCCCGCCATGGTGGAGTCCCCTGGGTGCATCTGCCTTGCCCCCCACCAGGCGGGCCCCGGGCAGCGGGGCCCACCTCGAGCCAAGACGCGCGGCAGGCGCGAGCCGGCGACCAGTAGCCCCAGCCCCAGCAGCGCCCGCAGCCCGGACATTCAGGTCCCCGCGGGCTGCCTCTTTTCCTCTCTCCCTCCCCCTTGAATGCCAGCCTCGGAGCATGCGCTAGCACTGCCTCTCCTGCTTCAGCCCTGGGTGAATGGGAGAGGTCAGGGACGGGAATCCTAGCGCGCATGCGCCGCTTACGAGTCCGGCTGGTACGCAAACTGAGTTTGCCTTCTTGCCTTCGGTGGCGGCTGCGTGCAATTACAGCGCCCCCTGCTGTCCGGACCCTAACCCACTCCCGCACTACGCCTTCTGGGACTACTATCCTGGGAGGAGAAGCTGAGCACCACCCTCCTCCCATCCCCAGTGAAACTGACAAAAGCAGGCCAGGACTAGAACAGAAACAAGATTCACTGCCAATTTTATTTTCTCTTCCAGTTGCACCAAAAGTGGAGCAGGAGGTGGTGTGGGGGATCTCGAAGTCCTCATGTGACCCTAACACTGAGCACAGCCTGACCACTCTGCAGTGCTGTGCTCCAGACAGTCTCCATCCAAGGACTGGACAAGTAGAGAAAGCCAGAGGAGGAGACTTAGGGAGACGAGGGTCACATGACCATGCAGAAGCTGGACTTGGTTGGCCTCCTGCAGACGTTTCTGCTGAGAGTGGTGGGGGGTCCTTCATGTGATCTGAAGAAGATAGGAAGAGGAGTAGTACTACAGCCTGGGGAGAGCGAGGGAGAAAGTGCTGGGTACCGAGGAACGAAGAGAGGGGCAACTGGGGACTAGCTGTTCCCTGGAGCTCTCATTATCCCTCCTCACCTCCCCCATGCATGATGCCACCTCGGATAGGTGGTTTTGAGGTTCTGGTCCCCAGATTCAGGATCTTTTTTCCCTTTCTCCCCAGGGGGCAAGTGATGGAGTGGGCAAACCGACTCCTGGTGCACCATGGCTGGCCGTGGATTATTACAATTGCTGAGGGACAAAAACAAAGATGGCCCTGTATCCCTTTATTAGTGGCCCAGGTCATCTTGCCACTCTGGGACCTTCTATTGTTCCTTTTAGCACCAGATCCTCAGCCTTACCCATCCCTACCCCCTTCTTAAAAGTTGTAACTTTCCATAATATTTCAATACCCATTTTCCTCAGAATGTAAACTCCCTGAAGGTGGCCTTGTTTTGTGGGGAGGCTTGGTGCCTCTCAGCCTTACACATAGAAAGCTCTTAATAAATGTTTAAGTTGAAATGCTAACAAAGATACATTATTTCATTCGTGTAGGTGCTATCTTCACTAGTGTAGATTGCACCCCTCTCTACCTTACCAGACTGTCTTCATGAGTTTCAATTGTGCCAAAAAACATCATCTTGCCCACCCCAACCCCCCACATTCTGATGAACTTTTAGGAACTTAGCAAAGGCTGGTCCTCAGATGACAGAGCCAGAGTCCATCACAAAGACTATACCCAAAGCCTTCCTGGTTTGGTTGGTGCTGCTAGAATTTGCACACAGATGGCACAGTCATTGAGAACTCAGGGGTCACCTCTGTACAACAGTGTCAGAGCAGGACTTCAAGCCACTCCAAAGCACACCATTTCCAACTCCTCTTTCCACTCATACTCCAAGCCCTAAATGTCTTCCCAAGCAGGAAGCCTACCTACCTATTGGCTTGGGGACCATTAGAGGACAGGATGCTGGGCTTCCCATCTTTGAGAACTCCTGATCGATGGAAAGAGAGAGGCCTCAGACCTAGTGAAAAAACAAATATAAGCCTCAGTTTATCTAAACCCATAATTTGGAAAAGATTGGGAAGTAAGGGGCAGGCAGATAAGTGGACAATGTGTCATGAAATGGTAGCTAGGTAGTACAGCAGACAAGATTGATGGGCCTGAAGTCAGAAACACCTGGATTCAAATCCAGCTTGAGACTTTCTAGCTGTGTGACTGTGAACAAGTCACTTAACTTCTGTCTGTCTCAGTTCCTTCATCCATAAAATGGAGATTATAATAGCATCTACCTCCCAGGGTTGCTGTGAGGTTAAAATGAAGTGATATTTGTAAAACTCTCAGCACATGCTTTGTTGTGG